TTGAATATTATGTTTTTATTACTATGTTATTTTTATCCTTTGATATTTTTCATATTTTAATGCTAACTGGGGTTTAATTATAAAAAATTTGGTTCTGTGCCACTTTGAGATACCATGGGGAAAGAAGGGATGTAATTAGTTTTAAATAAAAATGAATTGCAGTAGACTCTTTTCGGTCGGATACCCTAAGTTAGTAGGAAAAATGGATCAGTATGGAACAAGCAGAAACATAACAAGTGAGTAAATACTTCCATAAATTTCTAAGATTCAATGGGTCTATTATATTTGAGCCTAACCATTGTATTTAAGGTGATATTGCCATCTCCAGTGGGTTAATACTACTAAGTAGTCCAGTTAAATAAGCTGGAAATACCAATGTACAATTCAAATTAAAATATATAAACTCAAATTTCTGGCTGTTGCTGTGCACTAAGTTTTATCCAAATGTTGAATCATTAATCTAACCTGGGTTTAAGTACTATCTACAATATAAGTAATCAGTGTGATTTCAGCAAGAGAAAGGAGTCTGTCATTCTAGTAAATTAATGCCTGCCTGACTTCAGGAAATGTATTTCTATAAGAAAGTAGTCCTAATTTTGTTACCTTGATCACATTACTTTTTGCTCATGATACAGTGTTTTGCCTATGTTCTTGGATTTGTATTATCCTATCAAAACAATATGATTTTAAAATACTTAGTTTCAACAAAATATCCACAACAAATCCAAGTAGCTTTATCCAACTCCAGTTCCAGTATCAAAGTACATAGAGTAGACTTTATGTATTGTTATTTTCAAAAAGTAATGTAAACTCTGTAAATTAAATGTTTGCTCTTTGCTGAATGACTCTGTCTGAGCTGCACAGTTTTGCCGTTCCAGAGTACAGGTGCATGTATGTGAACGCATTTGATGTAGGAGATGCACATATACATGACATTGGATCCACTATTTCCAGAGCATGACAAGAGCCACATCAAACCATGTATGTTATATGTTGGTTTTTTTTTAAATAAACAAAGTATAGTAGATTATCGATCCATGTTTGAAGGTAAAGTTCATTTTCCTCCTTCTCAGACTACACCTGGTCTTTAGCTCCATGCCAGTTCCCAGTGTGAAACTCTGCAGTAAAGAGGAGATGATATAGCAGCTGGATCATAGTTATAGTGAGAAAGATTACAGGTGTGTGACAGGTTTAGATAAACACTTTTACCAGCTCTTTGCAGTTTACATGCTTTCATTCAGTAATCACAGCTTCTATGAAATGTTTGCAAATTGGGCTTCTTATGCATTATTACAAAAAGCTACACTGTTCTTTTGGTCTAATGGTGTCTAAAAATTCTATGTCATCCATGTTCATCCTCATACAAAATTCAAACAAAACACTTTTTCAATTTATTTAAACATGTGATGGTGCTAATTGTTCTTCTGATATCACTCATTCAGCTTAATGAAGGCCTGGGCCACTTGTGAAGGGCCAATTTTCTGCCCTGGAACCTTCTGGATGCCACAGAAATGCCTCCAAATGCCAAAATATGAAAGAAAACCATTCATTTCTGGATTTTAAAAACAGTTATATTGTTTAAAACAGTATGTCTTGGGAACTTCAAGCTATTTCAGAAAGTAAATGGTCACTTCAGGAGGATTCCAGGAGTGTGGAGCTCCCTCCCCGGCAATGTTAGATCAGCCCCCTCCCTCCTGACCTTCAGAAAAAGAGTGAAAACATGGCTCTTGGATCAAGCCTTCAGAGAAGAACCACAGTGCAATAGATTGACAGGAATTATGTGCAATTACTACTGGAATGACCTGGATTATAATTGCGGATTGCGTGGTTTTACAGTGATAGTAAGGTTTTAATAATATTTTCATTTACTTAATTTTGATTAAAATTTTAATGCTTATTTTAATTGTATATCGTTGTGAAGTATTGCCTATCTGTAAGCAGCCTTCAGTCCCCTTCGGGGTAGAGAAAGTTGGGATATAAATATAGTAAATAAATAATTGCAACTGATATTTGTAATTGTATATTGTCGGCATCACATTGCTGCCTGTTGTGAGGCCACCCTGAGCCCTCCTCCCAGGGTGAGAAGAACAGAGTACAAATATGGGAAATAAATAAATAAATATAGCAGCATAGAAGGGGCCTAGGTCTTTGAAAAATCTTTGGGCCACACATTGATACTTTTACCCTAATAAATCATGTGACAACCTCTTATATTGTTATGATAGAAGTCTGTGCTTGTTGATTTCATTTTGAAATGAGCTGATTCAGTCAAGCAATTGATCAACTTCCCTTTTTTGTTATCTGTGTTAATTATCTTTAGATACATTCAAAACAATTCCCATTGGAAGCAGCAGTATAATTCCACTATAAATTCTCCATTGGTTACAGAGCTCAAGGCCTCTTTGCTTCTCCTTACTGAACCATTCTGATGGAGCTAGACTAAGAAAACAGAAAAATAATTATAATTGTTTTCTTGTAGGGTGGCAGAAGACAAGAAAGTTATATCACAATGAGTAAGCATGCAGATTGTTGGATCAGGAGAATTAGGTTTAAAAATCAAAATACTGTATTAGAATTTTCAGTTAAGTATGAAAAGTGCTTTAAGACCAATAGAGTACCTGACAGAATGGATCTGTTCAATTACGTACCCTATGTTTACAGTAAGGATTTTGGAATACTAGGATGAGACCATTGGGGTTAATTACTAAAAGTGCCAGGATGTATCATTAGCATTCTTGGTCAAAACTATTAAGCAACTTTAAGATGGAACATATTTTGAAATTTCACTGCTAGTCAAAGAAAGATATCATTGCCTAAGACTTATATAATACATCTTTATAAATTCTTAAGTTATGAATTATAAACCCCAGCAACTGTTTTTAAACATTCAGCCAGTCTGAGTCCCTCTACAGAGGTGAAAAGATCGGGATATAAAAGTTTTAAATAAATAAATAAACAAACATTCAGAGCCGAACTTTTGGTTTTCACATGCAAATAACAAATCCACAAGGGTAAGGTAGCTCTCTGAAAATTCCTCTGCACTCAACTAATTTGTCTCAGCAGAGTAAAGAAGAGGTGTCAGGGGGAGATAGTTGCTTAAAAGAAATGAAACTATCAACAATCTGCTGAAGCATGTCTCTCTACCAAATCTTTACAATATGTCAATCGAGAAAAGTGCACATACCTAAGTCTGGAATTTCTTGTTTATATCTTTCTACTTGGAGCAACAGACTCAGCAATCTCTGTTTGAATTAACTGATAACCAAAATGAAAACAAAACAATCTTCCCGTGTTGTCACTTGTGCAACTACAGAGATGGAGAAGAGTTATTTCCTCATTTGTCAGGGATTTTCTACAGGCGCACACAGAGAAAAATTTGATAGGCCATTGCATTCAGCAGTTCCTTTTGAACACAAAAAGTTAACATTCACTATCATGTTAAAATGTTACTTGCTTTCTTAAGTATTGTGTTTTTTCAAGTGTATAGTTGTTTTATTATTATTATCTCACCACGCTAAAACAGTGGATGTGGCTCTTAATGAGACATGCTGCATTATCACAGGGTGTCTGCGCCCTACACCACTGGGGAAATTACACTGTCTAGCTGGTATTGCATCACCTGACATCCGCCAGGAAGTAGCAGCCAATAGTGAAAGGACCAAGGCAGTGACATCTCCAGCTCATCCCTTGTTTGGGTATCAGCCAGCACGTCAACGACTTAAATCAAGAAATAGTTTTCTAAGATCTACAGAGGCACTCGCTGGAACACCCCAGCAAGCGAGAGTCCAAAAGTGGCAGGTTCAAACGCAGAACCTCAATCAATGGCTGATACCAAATGAGAGACTCCCTCCTGGGCACACAGAAAACTGGGCGACTTGGAAGGCACTGAACAGACTGTGCTCTGGCACCACAAGATGCAGAGCCAATCTTAAGAAATGGGGTTACAAAGTGGAATCCACGACATGCAAGTGCGGAGAAGAGCAAACCACTGACCACCTGCTGCAATGCAACCTGAGCCCTGCTACATGAACAATGGAGGACCTTCTTGCGGCAACACCAGAGGCTCTCCAAGTGGCCAGATACTGGTCAAAGGACATTCAATCAACTACCAAGCTTGCAAACTTTGTGTGTCGTCTGTTTGTTTGTTTGTTTGTTTTGTTAAAAATGTAATACAACTGTCTGGTTGCTCCTGACACAATAAATAAATAAATAAATAAATAATAATAATTATTATTATCAATACCGTACCTTTCTCCCCATCAGGACTCAAGGCAGATAACAATCCACACTAGACAAATTTTAGAAGTGCAATACCAAAATTAAAAAACAATTAAATAGTAACAGTGTGGTGAAAAAAGAATTGAAATACAGTAAATACAACAAAATGGCCTTTAAAACTCATATCCTCCACCCAAATCCCATCCAATCTTCCCAGAAAGAAGGCCAGAATATGCTATGGCAGCCATTCTATCTCATTCCCAAATAATGAGCAATAACTCCAGCAGAAGTATGAAATGTTGACTTACATTAACCAGAGTTCAAAGTTAGATCTGAACTGGGGATTTAAACCAGAGTCCATCAACTTGGGGATCATAAGATGTGTTTGTAAAAGACTATGCAATTTGCTTCAGAAAAGGGGACCACCCTCTGAATATGCGGGTGTGGGAAGAATGGGAGTGGGGTTGATTGGGAAGTAGAGAAGGTTGGGTATACGTCAAATATTGAATTTGGCTTAGTTTGAAGGTGTTGGAATCTACTTGAAATATGACTATTCCATTTAAGTATTGTTATTATTTTTGTGTTGCATTTTATTTTTATTCTCCCCTCTGTTCCTCCAGTTTCTAATATCTCAACCCCAAGAGAAATGAGAGCAACTTTTTCCAGGTTGGCAAAAGAAAGTTTCCATTATGTTACTGAACAAGATCAAGCTAGACAATGAAAAACACAAAAAATTATTAACTATGAACACCAGTGCAGTTATAAAAAGGGGGGGAAACAGATTTTCTTTTCCAGTCATTGTCTTTATTTGTGAAAATACTGCCAAATATTCACATGGATAAAAAGCCCTGCATTTTATATATTCATGTGTATTTCTGACATGCCAGGCAAAATCCACTGTACAGATTTTGTTTTCTTGTGCAACGGCTTTTAGTCTCAATTTGAAATATCTAATAAGAAAACATTCAAGGAATTGTGATAAAAATGACACAAGAAGCCCTTTCTGTCATTGTCAGGAATGGAGGCTTGGAGACTGGATATATGGTTTACACAAACATACCAATGCTGTTTTCCAAGTTATGCTGCCTAAAGTCTTCTAGATTAGCTAAACATTTTGACAATAATGGCAAGTCTTCAGGTCAAGGCTGAACATTTGATATTTTGGATTAAAACACTTTAACCTTTAAAAAACAAATACACCATGTTACATCTAAAAAACAAAACAAAATATCCTTTATAAAACTGTTGCATTGTAAAGGTTACTTACTGCCCTGTCTTTTTTCAGTGCCAGCTTGTCAACTCTCCTGAAATTTAACTCTTCACATTACTGCCAACAAACACAAAATTAAACTTTCCATTGCTATATTCTGACTATTTTCTACATTATATTAGATCTAAAAACCTGCTTGGGATTCCAGATGATTGACTTAATAGCAAATTCATGTAGACTCTGTGAGGTGGGATGCAAATAACAAATGTATGCAGTATAATTCCAAAGAATGGGAAGATTTTCCCCAACTAAGAAATAATGTTTGATATAACAGGGGTGGGAATTGTGTTATTGCACTTTCAACACCCCTTATCCTTGGTGTGCTGGCAAGGCCTGCAGGGAGGTGAGGGCTAACAATGTCTGGAAGGGTGTACCTCTGATGTAAAATAACAGAAAAATCAAACAAGATAATCAACAAGAAATTCATTTCATTCTGAACTGAGTCCATCTCAGTAGTGGCTCTTTAACTGCTGAATGATCAAACCCTTAACTAGTCAGTAATGATGGCAGAACAAGGATACACTTCTATACATAACTATTTAGCAATATGTGTGACTTAGTGAAACTTATTCTCAGGAAACTGTGTTAAGGATTTCAATAAAAGGGGTGGTTGAAATGGGCACATTTCTCCATGTGAACTTGAAAGGAGGTATATAATTGTACAAAGAAAAGTAGGACATACACCTCAGTGTATTTATGATTAACCATCAGCATTTTCAGTTATGGAAACCATCATGTGAGGTTGGCTATGTCTCTCTCTGTGCATGTATATATCAGTCACTCTAAACTTTCAGAACAGCTGTGAATCTAAATACTTGACTACATGGGTGAATATAAATGTACGTAACCACCCTAACTTGTTTTAATAAATAGTTTTTACATGAAGGTACTTCCACTTTGCAGCTTGAATGCATTCCAAAGGGATGGGTGAGGGAGAAATGTGATGTGGTCTATAATAGGGACAAGTTGTCGTAAGGTTGGGAAGATCTCCTTGTATTAGGAAGAGTGTCCACAGTTCTCAAACTGTGGGTCACCTCAGCTTTGATCTATAGCTTATGGAGATTTGGCAAACAATGCCCCACCCCTGAAGAATGAATGCATGTGCAGCTAAACCAGGAATGGGCAAACTTCAGCCCTTCAGGTGTTTTGGAGAGTTGAAGTTTGCTCATGTCTGAGTTAGATTATAAGTTACCTGGAGAGTTGAAGTTTGCCCATGTCTGAGTTAGATTATAAATTACAGGACAGGGCAAGCAGATTCCAAAAGATTCTGGCCATCTCAACAAACCTCAGTGATACAATGTTCTGAGTGCAAAGGAAAAGGGGACAGAAAAGTCCACCACTTCTCTTACATTCAGTTATAGGGATCTGTAGTTTAACTAAAATATTTTTCCTAAACAAGATAGGAACAGAAACCACTGTTTCAATTATATCCTGCTTTTCTCTCCAAAACAACATTCAAGACAGATTGCTTGCACTAGCCATAATTTAATCTAACTAGTCACAGATCAGTTACAGTTCAGGTGTAACAGGGACCTGTATTTTGTTCAAAAGTGGAATCAGATGCTTTCAGTCTCCTGCTGTGGTGTATATCAGAAACATTGTGGGGAATGCACACATCTGAAAGTTACTGCAGCTCTTTCATATATTGGGAAATCATACTTTCCTGTTGCCTCTGGGTCATCCATTTTCCTTTTTATACAATTGGTCTTTCACTAATTTCTATTGTAAAATGTGTTGAAAATTATAAGGAAATTACATTTCATATACTGTTGAACTGGAAGATACAAGCATGTAGAAACTTTGTGAAGGACAGACAGTAAGGAATATCTACTACAGTTGTTTGTTTCAAAAGGACAGTAGATTTACAACAGATTAACAAGCTAAAGGGCAAAAATGGCAGCACTAACAGAAAGCAGCAGTACCATCTATGTAAATATACCCACAACATACATGCCCAGCATTTATCAAAGGTCCCATTAAAACAGAGGACATGTAATTGAAATGTTCTATTTTTCTACATTTTACTTGTGGATTCTTTGCTCTGCATCTCAAAAACACACATGTGTGGATAGCATAAATGTAGACAATTTGCTTTAAGATTTGCATTTAATTTAAGTGGTCTTGAGGAAAGAAATTGTCACTTATAATCTAAAAAGAGATATGAACACCTGAAATAAAGATATAATATGAAAGGGAAAGGCATAATATATTAAATTACACAGAACTAAAAGGAACCAACTTTAAGAAATTGGCCAAAGGCTTTTAAACATTGCATTTATGTACATAAAAACATACAATCCATCTCTAAATAATTGTTTCCATAATGAACATATAACTTGGACAAAACATCCAAATGATGTATCTGCTTTATGTAAACTGAAAAGTATATTGCATCAAGAAGAGTAGCAACAAGCTCTTTGCAAAGTCTTTATGTTCACAAATAAACATTCAGAAAAATAAAATATCTGACCAGGTTTTCTTTTCTTCCAATGTTTCCATTAACAGACTGAACAGACATTTCCCACATATATATTCATATTCAAAATTAAAAGATTTATACTAAAATGGAACATATCTTTCATAAAAAGCAAAACATTAATAATAAAAAACAATTTTCAAATGTTCAGTCTAACTCTGCTGTCTATTTAGTACTGGATCATGAGCTAAGAGGCAGTGGACATATTGGGTGTCCAGCCCATCTGGTATGCTCTTTCCAAGGTCCTCTTGCAGTCTTGTAGGACGGTGCTGAAGGTGATGTGTGGGTGTTGCTGCACCAGCTGTTCCACGGTCACTTCATTCACCTGCATACATAACAAATAATTTTATATTTTATTTATTTTAAAAATGGAATTGCCTTTTAGCTCACAGTGCCAAGAACACTAACAATTAGAAATTATTAATTAGGAACTTTAGAACAATATCATAACATACAGATTAAATTTAATTGCCCTTTGTCTTGGTCTTCACAAGGCTAAAAAAAGAAGAGTGGTCTCTGCTTGCACTGTGATCCTTCTGAACTGTAGCAGAGACAACATCTGATACAAAATGTAGGCTTGTGACTCCAACACAATCACTTCTTTTCTTTTTTATTTCTTTCTTCTATATGGTTTGTAAACATATTTGTCTGATGAACGAACTAGTGCAAGGAAGTCTAATTCATTTTCACTGAGGCTAACATCAGTCTTATGGTTGCCTTCAAAGGACCGTTTGTAATTGTAAGACTTTATAAATATACCTATATTGCCCTGAATTTGAATGCCTTATGGGCTCACATAAAATGATCTGGAGGGCTGGATTCAGCCCGCAGGCCTTGCATTTAACACATGTGAGCTAGTGGATTTTCAAGAGCTTGTGTGATGTCTTTTGTGCATTTTGGTTGGCTATGTGCAGAATCATTTGAAAGGAGGTGGTCCTTCAGATGACCTTGTCCAAAACTTTGGACAAGGAAATCTGAAAGACCAAGAAATCTTAAAGGCCACCTCCTTCCAAATGATTCTGTCCATGATCTACTATCTGCTTTGTCCATTAATTTGTGCATGGAAAGTAAAATAACTGGTGTTAAGACTATTGTAAAAGTACACCTCAGTGCCACAATCTGCAGTCATTGCAGTTGCTGATCACTTATTAAGGGCAGTCACACACACAATATATTGTAGTAAGCCAAACTGGAAGAGAATAAGATATGGATTACTTTGACAAGATCCATATTCACCAAAAAGCACCATAAATGATATACCACTCAAAGCTGCTTCTGGCTTCAGAAGCCATCTCATATGCCAGGAGCAATGACTATCAAGAACAACCTCCCCAGGCTGCCAACCTAATATTTCTGACAAAGTGGAATTAAGTGCAAAACTGACTATAGTTCCAAGGGAAGTTGTCATTCATATAGTATAATGTGTGTGGTTAATGTGGGTGTCAATAAGAACCACACTACGGTATTTGGTTAAGGAGGACTTTGGAGGCAAGTCTAGCTATATATCTCTGTAACTTCAAATCAAGTCTTTCTTTGGTAACAACTGAAATGGTGGCAATCAATAATTAAAATGTACAAGCCTAGCAGGTCAGGAATATTCCTGCTAGAATGTAACCAGAGATACCACCTTTATTCCTTGATCATACAAAGCAATCAGAAAGGCCTAATTAAACTTAACACCTTTACAACTGCTGTGCTGTGAAGGGATTAATTTGTCAATTATTTTTAAGCTGATTGTAGTTCATATCACAGAACTAGACAGCTTCCATCATCCATTAGATAAATAAAAGATTAACCTAAGAACCACAACTTTTAGGTGGCTTTCTTTAAAATCTTTATTGAACATTTAAAAATACATCAATATTTAATTTAAATACTCAGCAGCCTAATCTGACAGTGTGCTTGCATTACAACTGTTCACCTTGTATTTTTGTATCCCCCATCCCGTTAATATGAGATAACAAGCCTAATGACAACAGCAACAACTTTCTGGGCTTGCTGCAAAAAAGTATTCATTTCATTAGAAATCTTTTTGAAAGACACATTTTAAGAACAACACCTTAAATATCCATCTACTATCATCCCACCCTTGCCCTGAATGAACCGGCAACTGAAGCAATTGTGCTAGGCAGTGCAGAGAATGAACAGTGATTGCATTTTATGACAGGGACAAATGACGGGTTTAATCTACAGTTCTTCTGCTTTGATAATAGAAACACTCAATCTTCATTGGGAGATCTGTCAACCGGAGAGCAACTTGGAGAGAAAATGAGTTTAACTTCTTTTCCAAGTACAGAGACTCTGCAAGCTCTAAATACTTTTGTAAACAACAACATTATGGCAACACTGAAGGTGCCCAAAAAGAAGGAACTCTTTATAATAAATCAGAACATAATCTGTAAGGGTACAAAATCTCCAATAGTGCACACATATTGGAAAAAGACATCTAAAAAACTCATCAGAAATGTTACTGGAAAGAAGTAGTCCAAGGAATGGCTTTAGATCAATCTCCCCAGTGACCACAGGATAACTGAAGTAAGTACAACAGAAATACTAAATATTAATAAACATTATTAAAACCTACACATAAAAAATATGAGCAAACTCAAAAGTATTTTTTAAAGCAACCATCATGAGTAGTCACGAAGAAGAGAAATTATTGCTTTACAAATGTACATTTACTTAATAATGTAGATGTCACATCTCTTTTTGCAATTATATTGCTAAGTGAGGGAGGGGGAACACAAAACATTGCCCTGTATAAAATTGTAGAAGAAAAATATATCCATGATCTATAGTCTTAACAAGTTAGCTTCAGTATAACCAGAACATTCCAATGTCTCTCTCTTCCTTTATAATCAAAACCTTCCATTTAATTTGCTTTTTGAAAATTATAAATATTGGTTATTAGTTTTAAATAATGTATTATTTATATTTTGAATCATTTTGACTTTTACATGTTGAAGGGCAATATAGACATTTTAAAATGATGATGATAACAAAAATATAAGTTAAATATTCTGTAACTTACACTTTCTTCACCATGGTACTCTGTTTACTCAAATTTTAAAATACAAATCTTCTTCCTATAGTGTAATGCTAATGTAGTTGTATTGTTATCTGACCCAGTCCTGTGGAATGGGACTAACATTTCTAAAAACTGCTTTTTAAATACAGGCCAAGTTACAAACATCCAACTTACAAAAGACTCATAGTTAAGAACAGGGCTGAGACAACAGGAAGTGAGAAAAAATTCCCCTCGAAAAGGAAATTTACTCCTGAAGAAGTTATCATGGGTAAAAGGTGTCACCACTGAAGCGTCCTCACCATTCCTTGTTTCCATAGCAAGTTTTCAAAATCCAATCACACAGACAGAAAGTGAGGTGAAATCTTCTGAACAGGAGCACAGACAGCAAAAGAAACACCACAGGGGTATTAACCCTTTCATATTCTAGGCATATATATGTATGTATGTATGTATGTATGTATGTATGTATGTATGCATGTATGTATGTATGCCTGGAGTTACACTGTAAAATGTTCCCATTCTGACTTAAACATAAATTCAGCTTAAGAACAAATCTATAGAACCTATCTTGTTTGTAACTTGGTGACTGCCAGTATGCAAATCTATTTTATAAACCCTGGAAGGACAAATCAAAATCCCAAAGCAGAGGCTGATAAAATGACATATATTTACTAATTTATTTGATCATGAAACTTAACAGTAAAATGCTATACAAAAACGGTGATTTCTTCACAGGTGTCATTAAATCCACGAAAACCATACAATCATAAGAGAAATGAATTGCATTTGTGACATGGTTTATACATCAATCAAACTGGAAATGCTCAGGCCAGGTTCTAACTACATTGTTAAATGGACATAACTTCCAGTTGTCATTGAAACTTTAAAAAGTTTAGGTTAAGAGGCATCTGTAAACTTCCTTAACCAAATGTATACACACAGTTGCTCCATTCTCCATGCTACTTTAGGACACTCCTGCTCTCAGACACCTACTAAAACCAGGAGGTGATTAATGGAAGCTTCCAAAGAGCTCTGCAGATGCTGGCACAAGACCCCTATGGCTCCTGCTGGGGCTGGACATTATTGTTCCTCTCTGCTCCAGGAGCCAATTTAAATATGGTGACTAGATCTTTTTTTTTTTTTTTTGGGCAATCTTATATGTGACCCTGCCCTATGTACATATCATATGTGCACCCAACATGTACAAAAATGCATGCCCAAATTTTGTTCTTCAAAAATCAATTAAGTTTATTGTGTGTATGGGTCAACACCTATATAGTGAAAGGAGCTCTTGAAAAAATATATGAATTATATATGCAAATATATATGATTCCCAGTCAACAGGATATGAGACCTAGGTCTATGAGGGAAGATCTCTTTACCTATCCTGGTAAACACACATTGGAAAGCCACAAATGATTGCACTAACTTAAAACTTATTCAATGTGTGCATGCAGTCCTCATACATTAAAAGAGCTATAAGTAGATTCACATGGAAGTGCCCCTTCTGCAGACCATAAGTTTAAGAAATGTTAAAAGAAACAATGGTTGCACATCAAGGCAGATTATTTGTCAATCAGAAACTAATGGAACAATTATTCTCTGGGAAAAATTATACTGGCAATCTACAACATCCTTAGAGTAACTGTGTATATAAAGAAATTAAATACATGCTAATACTAATGGTGTTGTAGTTCAGCGTGATGGTAACATTCCTACTACCAGTAGGAGAGATAAGAGGTCTGCGCAAGAGTCAGAGGGGGAGTAACAGCGGAAATGCATTAGGGAAATAATATTGGCCCCAAGTGATTCCGAGACGTTTGAGGGCTTCTCTGATTGCGAAATGGGAGATGGGGAGGAGAGCAGGGGAGTAAAGAGGGTTACTCGCGATCCGGAGTCCAATGAAGAGCTTCAGAGGAAGCGCATCCGGGAAATACTTACTGCCCCAACAGAGGACGAGGATTTCATGGGGTTTGAAAGGAGTGATGGGTCTGGAAGTGATATGGGAGAGGAGGAGGAGGAGGAGGAGCTGGATTGGACCCGTGTTCAACAGATAAGGGACATTTGTAACCAACCCACCTCCAGTGATGAATTTGAGGGGTTCACAGGGGATTGGCAACTGGGGAGTACTTGGCAAGATCTAAGTCTTAGCAGACGCTGGCAGAGATGGAGGGATGCATGCTCGGGCTCAGCTGTGGGGGTGGATGCAGCTGAGAGTGATGAGGAAAGGGTGGGGAGCTCATCATCCTCTAATGAGGAGATAAGATAAAAGTGGGTTCTGTTTGAATGATACTTTG